GGTAGCAAATCACCTAATCTACAAAGTTTATCAGAACACAATGTGTGAAATGCTGAGTAACTGTAAATAAATCATATCCAAATTATGCAGAAATTGCATGGCTTTACCTGGATCTCTAATCTCTACTGTATTTTTCCAAATTACTCTGTGGATGACGTTTCCTACGTCACTGAACAAAAATCCTTTGGATGACCCTCCAAAGTTGTTGAGGCAGATGGATTACAGAGGACCTCAAATAATCTGCAGTGCTTCCAATGCCCTTAGCGAAACAATGTGCAAGACCAAGGGGGCTCCTTTAGCTTTGCGTTGCTGCATCTAACTCTTGGTTGACAGAGTAGACAGGAACTTTTGTGTAAATGGGATTACTGACACTAACACTAAATTGATGTGCTATGTCCAAAATATTTTGATATTATATCCATATTTACATATTTACATATTTTCAGATTATTTTATTTTAGATCATTGACTAAAATGGCTTCCACACAACCAGATGAGAAGCTGAGATGTCTAAAAATACACTTCATCGCACAACAGCACACAATGAAAATTATTTGCATTCCTTACTATTCTCCCAAAATGCTGAGGCCTTTAAACTGTCACCACCTATAAAATATACTAAAATCTCCCTAAATATTCATCAAAATAGATATCTGACATATTTTGTTTCTCAGGTAATTAGTGGTAACTGACACTCAACAACCCTGCTGGAAGCATAACCCAATCATACCAAAAGCAGCAGCATATAACAGACAATCCAGGGAATGTCCAACCAATTATCAGATGTGAAAGCACATCAAGTTAGGCTTTCACATATCTCCAGGTTTTTGATCAGGTCGTAGCTTCTTAAGACAAGCAAGAAAGCTTATAAAGAGCACAGTAAATGCACAATTACATTTGTTTAGAGCAGGGCACACTTAAGTCAACTTAAGTTAAGGTAACAATATGCAACTACATTCTGAAAGCATATTTATTTAAATAATAACTTTCACCAATCTATGTCTATTATACAATGACTTCATGCATTAAAATAATTTTAAAGAAAGTGAAACAGTATATTGCCAGAAAGCATTAATATTACAAAATACACTTACATGTTGATATTGCAAATGACACTAAAGAGTAAATATTCAGAATTTATTTTCCTTTTTAAATATAGAAAAAAAAAGCTGATAATACTAACGTTATTATAAATCTTGAATTCATATACCTATTTATACCTACAGTATGTATGTATATATAGGTGCATATATACTCTCAGGTATGGTCTATTCATATAGACATGTATATTCATACATATACACACAGAACACATAAAATTTCATTCACTTTGCCCATGGTCTTTGCATGCTGTGTTTATTTTTAAATGGTAAGCTCTTGTCTGTAGACAAGATGTTGCCTCACAGTGTTTAATACAGCCTGTAATACAAAGGAGTTTGTCTCTAACTTTTGTGTGCTATTGTGATACAAATATGAATTAATGGTTCTTCAAAAGGGAATCACTACAAAGCCAGTGAATAAAGTATGATGTCCCTCCTAAACGTTAAAAAAAAATAAAAAAAAGACATTGCTCAAAGTTTGGAGGATGTATTTTCATTTACATCTGTCCAATCAAATCATTATGTTATGATACATCTGTCAAATTAAAAGTTATGCGAGTTGTCCCATGGGATCAAAGCTATGCACAAGTTTTGGAAGTTCAATGTCTACATTTATTTTATATATCACTTCTTTGCAACTGTTGTAACAGAGTAGTCTTTTTAAAACTAGGTCCTGAAGCCCATTTTATATAACTTCAAATAAACTTGTAGATTGAGACTGATTTTTTTTTCATGTATAGCTACTATTATTTCAGAAAACAGATTTCAAATGAGAAATAAACAAGATATTTTAAAATGGATTTTTTAACGAAAAATATACAAATAAAATACACAAACAATCAGCATATTGTCAGTAAACAGAATGCCTGTTTAAAATCTTCCATGAAGCATGACTCTACCTTAGGTATAATAATTTGTAATCACTGAGACTTGGAGCAGGGAAAGTTATAGTTTTCACAGAATATGAAAACAAAAAGAATAATAACAATAAAAAGTACAGGTAATAATTATATTTAAAGTCAAGAAAGATGAGAAAGATGAGTATTAGTTCAACTATGTTCTCACAGTGTTGCTTTCTACACGGTAATCATGTAACTCTGTCAGCCTGATGCAGCACAGCAATCACAACAAATTATGAATGAATATAATCAGCAATGACTTGTTTTAGCTATCTCAGGAGATGATTATTTAAGTGCAAAGTTTTTCCTTTATGTTTAGTGAACTCAGTTTCAGACAAAATTCTTGGTTTTCACTTGCTATATCCTCACTGTCCAATAAAGGCTTACTATTCAATGATCTTTAAAATGATAAACACATGAAAATATTGCTGGTACATATGAAAAAAAAGCTATATTTACAAGCGATACTTTAAACAATTCAATACTCAGGATAAAGAAAATATAAATATGATACCTACTGTTTAAGGCATACAGATACTTTACATACAAGAATCAGATATTAAGCTCATTCCCTTTCACCCTGTATTTCCTTCTAACTTTTGCTATACCTCTTACTTTTTAATTCTTTTTGTGTTTTCTACATTAGGCACATTTTTTTTGTGCTTTAAGCATAAACTTAGGAAACAATGAAGACTCAAGGCATTCATCATACATTTTAACTAGATTACCTCTTACATATTTGCTACCATGATGTGTTCCAGTTTGAAAAGCTAAAACTGTTCTAATTGTTTCACTTCCGAGGGCATCCCCTTTCAAAAGTAGTGATTCTGTTATTTAACAGATAACACATGTGTACTAGCCATTGATGTTATGGTTTCTCCTCCTATTTTCACTTTAAAGAAATAAAGCAGCAATATTTAGAAAATTTACATGCTTTTTTTTTTAAAGTTGTTTATGAAGGAGATGGACTGGAGTACAGCTTCTCTACCAGAACACTGACTACCAGCCTATTAAGGGGGTGACCTTGAAGAGAGAGTTTATCTCCAACAAATAATGGACTGGTTTTTGGATTTTTTTTTTGATATGGCATACAGTGCCACAAAATTTACAGAGTGAAAACATTTCAACTTCTTGTTACAAAAGGAACTCTCATTGCAGAGCATGCCCAAAACAAGTTCTTCCAGACAGAAGAGGAAGAAATAGTCAAAAGGTGAGAGGGTAAATGGGTGAGAAACTTTGCTGTAAGTGAGGGAAAAAGTGAATCACAACACAATTTTGCCAAATTGTGTTGTAGTGGACAACAATGAAGTAGATATGAACAATGCACTTTGGTAGTGGATAACACATGAAATAGATATGAACAAAATCTAGAAGCTCTGAATTCTGATAGTATCTCACGAATATATGCTCAGCAGTGCACTCTGGAAACTCATTAATAATCTAGCACTCTCTAGCTATCCCATCTGATAGTCCAGTGCCTTAAATAGGACAATTTTAAATTCTCGTCTACCAGAACAGTACTCCTTGTATTCCTGAGGGCTCAGGGGGGCAGGAGCACCCAGAAGCACTGAAGAAAGATTGCTGAGGAAAATCTAAGTTCTTTAGCTGGCCTTGGTCAGCAATGATCCTTGGAAAATAAAGTTGAAGAGTACAACTAAATCCAGTGTTTACCTTTTTATATCTAATATGCTACCCCTTCTTCTTACCATGCATTCAAAAATAAATTCAGTAATATTCAGAATAGATATATGGGCTTCCTAAAATGAAGGGAAACATTCCCGGGCAGGAAAAAATGTAAGGAAAGCTAGGCTAAACCTTAGGGTGCTGAGCCTGAGATCAAGTTTGCCACTGTGGAAGCTCTGAACATTCGCAGTACTGCTTATATGCTGCAGGCAATCTGCCCTCCTTGTTTCTTCACCATATGCCAGGGAAGTGTCAGGATAGAGAGCATATGCTAAATCAGGCACGATGTATTGGGTCTGCCTTGCTTGTAGGTAAATCCATGCTTAGATCTGAAGCAAGTAGCAGAGCAAAATAATTTTTCTCCATCATAAGACCCCCTCAGAATTCTTTCAAACCAATTTGAGCATAGTGTAAATTAACGTAAAGAAAATTTCCACCAGCATACAGCAAGGTTAATTGACAGTAATTGCAGTTCAGTTGTACTTGGATCTTTACAGATTTGTCTCAGGCAGGTTTTAACTTCTATTTCCACTCATTTGAAGGTTAATATAATTACTTTTTTTTCCTACACTAAGAAATGAGACAATATTTCATATACTAATGAAATGGACTTCTTGGATAAAAGTAAAATGACAGAGGTGATAACTATCTGATCACAGCTTAGAGCTACAAAAGGAACCATATTTTTCTAAAAACAATGTCTCTGCAGATCCTCAGCTTCTTAAAATGAAAAGTTCTTTTTTTAAAAAAAAAAATCAGACTTATTCTAATTTTACTAAAGCCAAGCAGAGTTTTATCATTAATTTCAGCAGTTAAAGAAACAGATGAATATTTAAAGACCTTTGGAAAGTCTATCTTACTCTTTCATGGTGAAATTTCTTAGTTTTCCATCTAAAGGTGAATTTTTAGGGAATGCTTATGAAAGTGGCTTCTTTAGAAAGGTTAATGATCAATACCTAGCTTAAGAAAAGATACTAAGAGATGGGAAAATTGAAATGCCATTACATTCATAAAAATGAATTCTAGTGCCTTCTATTTTATACCCTTTGATGTGCCCTGGTGTTCTTATATAACTACCAGTTCATTATGAATTTTATGAATCTGTGAAAGCATCCCCTCAGCTCCACCTCGTGAAAGACCTGAAATTGAAATGCTTCACTAGTGTAATTTAAGATAAACTGGAACAGCAAAGAACTTTAAACTTCTGCATTCTTCTATTTCTGCATTTTGCTTTATATTTCAAGCAGCTTAACTGAAAAGATATCTTGAGATATATATGTAAACATGCATAAAGGTAAAGTGAAATACATGTTCATACCTTCAAAGTAACCAAGATTTACAGGCTGTGTCTTCTTTGGTGGTTTCACAGGGAGATGTTTATTTTCATTGTTTTTGAACAACGCCAGGCGCACAGCTGGGTCTAGACGACAAGAACAAGTTAAAATCAAAGGTCAGGCCTGTCTCATTCATTCCTTCAAGCAGTTTTTCACATTTTAGCCATTTAATAAATGAAAAATCTTTAAAAGTAGATTTTATATTGACAAAAAATTATGCTTTCTAAAGTAAAGCAAAAGGAATACAGTGCAACAAAGAAGCAAAGTTACTGTTTTTCAGGATTTTGATACCAGTGATCTTTTTGCTAACTCATCTAAATAAAAATATATTCTAAAGCATAAATTTGCACAAAATATTTTTAAAAATCTGCTTTCAAAGCTTGACATTTATAATTAATTAAATATATGTAGATTACTTGGTAAAAGCTTTGAATCAGAGGCATTCAGTAGTGAAAATGAAGCTATTTATGCCTTATAAATACTATTAAGTATTAGACATTATTTATGTTAGTAAGAAGAGGCTTATTTTCTGAGAGAAAACTGGATGATAATAAGCTAACACTTTAGCAAATCCTGTCTTAACTGAAGTAAAGTTGTCTCCAGAAATCTATAGTCATTTGCATGCTAGAGTACAAAATCTTAGTTTCGTAACTGTTATTTTAAAAATGTCATAAAGAATCAAAGATGAACATGCAACTGTATATAAATATGCCTTTTTGGCATGTGCCTTTTTGGACTGGCAAAAAAAAAAAAAAAATTAACAAAGCTATATTATTGCAAAACTTCAGACAAGGCGGGAAAAAAGTCTTGTGGAGTATTCTTTATGCAAAGGAAGAAATGTTTGCTTGAAGGCAGAGGAAACTGTTAGAAAGAGCACAAAAAAAAAAAAAAAAAAANAAAAAAAAAAAAAAAAAAAAGCACAGTGCAAAATAAAATAGTCAATTATGAGGAAAAAAAAAGGAAATAAAAAGAGGATGTGGAAGAATATAGAGACAAAAGCAGATATATGAGAAGCAAAAGCATATAGGTTTTTGTAAATTTGACACCGAATATGATGACAGAAAGCCATGGGAACAAAACAAAGAAGTAATATTCATATGGTTAAAAGATGAAGTCAATTGTACAAGTAAACAAATACAGACTCGGAAAATCAGAGGGACAAGGAGCCAGAAGGGGTTGTCTATGAAGGTGATTACATAGCTTCAAATGAAGTAGAAATTACTGATAATAAAGATGGAAAGAACAGAAACAGAATTTAGCAAGAAAGCAGACATGGGAAAGAAAGGATCCAAGTTTACACAAAGTATGAAAGTACAGCAAAAACGAATTTGTGAGCTGCTGCCAAAAAAACTCAGAGCAGGAAAACAGAGGAAATGGGAAGACCAAGAGAATGTTCAGACTGAATAAGTGTATGATATTAACTATGTCCAGTTCTTCATTCTGAGCCTGATAGCTGAATGACTTTGTAGCAGATGACTGGTGCTTACTGGGGGAGGTTGTAAGAACGTGTACAATCCTTCAGCAAAATAAATATTTTTTGTTTGTTTGTTACCATATTTACTGAAATAAAGGCTCAGAACACTCTCTGAAGTCAGGAGGCAGTTTCTTATGAAATTTAAGAGTAACTCAGAAAGCTAGTTTTGAACAGACACTAGACACTTCAGTTATGTAAGAAGAATGGATCCTGAAAGTCCCAACTTTCTGCTCTTCTGACATGAGTAATGAAGACACAGCCAAAATGCAGCTTTACCTTATAAGTTGAGGCAAGAACTCTAATCAGGTATGGAAATATACATAGACAAAACACTCCAAAAAGTTTACAGTGTTGATCAATCCACACTGCAGTAGCTGGTTGACAGGATGCTCTTGATAGTGCTAACCTCTCAGAAAGCAGCAATAGAAAACAGATTCCAGATTCACCTAGAGGTTCTAAAAGATTTAAAGTCATTTCACCCCAATTTTACAAACTACCACAGGTATAAATTCAGTGGAATGAATCAAGAAGGACAGTAAAGACTGATTAAATCTAGCAGTTTTAAGGCTGACTACTAGAATGATTCAGATAACTGTATTACCATTTTCATGAATCAGATGACTGGGTTCATGGATATTTTAGACTTTACTTTGGGTAGATGGACAAAATATTTTTACTTTACTATTTTGACTTGTCTCCCTACTCAAAATACATTTTTAGTAACCTAGTGTTTGTCAAGATAAATGTTTGAGGCAGTAACCTGATGATCTGTGGTAAAATATCTCAAAATAGAAATACTTTTATATGAAAAGTTATTTTCTCTGCAATTTTAAATAACAGAAGTTATTACAAATATTTTAACTGAAGTATAACTTTTAATTATATTTTCTATATTGGTAAGATTAAATACATGTCCATGAGGAACATACACAGTTATAATTTTTCCAGCAGTACCAGTGTAGATAAAAGACACCTCCATAAAAAGGGATCTTTGTCTCAAAAGGCAAAATGTATTTTCCAAGAGGTATTTTTGATTTTCTTAAAACAATTCCTGCAATATTCCAGCATACTGTTTTCCTAAGGTGGTCTACAAAAATTGTCCCAAAATGCTTTTAAAATGGCATCTTTCCTTAATCTTGCCTCAGATTCAATTTTATGAAAACTCTGAACAGTCCAAAGTTAAACTACACCGAGAATATTTGTGTGAAGTCACATGAAATTATTAGTACCACCAATATTTTTCAAACATTTATTTATGAATGAGGATTTCGGTATTAAATAAGGTCCATGAACTGGAAAGAGAGGGAAATGATGGAAATTGTTCTTCTAAGAGATTTCTATCAGAAGATTTACTTTTGAGTCTTTGCAAAATAACTTAAATAATCTACAAGGATTTAACATAGTGCCAGACTACTTGAATTTGTACCTACCTGGATCACCTCAACCATTGCCTACGGCTCTTTTGTTATTAAAAATGAGTCTTTTTCTAGTCCCAAATGTAGGCAATATTACACAGATTACTTTATAATACTAGTGCTTTCTGGTCTCTTTCTTTTTTTCGGGGAAATGAACTGTATGTATGCTTTGATGACAAGCAATCAAATGTTTTAAATTTCACACAGAGAACTGTGAAAGAGTCCAATAGTTCAAAATCATACAAATATCTTCCTGGATTCTGGCACACTCATTTAAATGTAGTTTATTAGATGATGATCTGTGCTGGCAAACTAGAAACCAAGGAGGTAATTTAATGCACATTGCTTGGCAGATTCCAAATATGGAAGAAAGTTGGACAAACATTGTCTAAATGTTATAGAAACAATATGGAAAGAGTAGTTACTGCCTGATCTGGCACCACATTTATTAAACAACTTCTTGATAATATGTAAACTGAAAAAATTAGAAGTTTGTAATTCATTGTTGTGCAATAATTGTAATTGGAAAAAGGTGTATCCATGCCAATTTGAACCAACTTTGAAGAGTTGATAAATTAAAGCAGCAAAGAGTGAATATATTTCAGCTTGTAATTAATGGGGAATAAGATCACACTTTGTTCCAAATCAGACAGCAATTAGCACAATGGGATTCTCACCCATGGTTGGAGCTCCTAGATGAGCACCATTCTCTCTATTGCTGTGAAAATCTAGATTGATTGTCATTTAATTAATGAGTAATAATGAGTAATAATGTCCTCCAGATTTTCATTTTGGCTGTTGTTAACAAACTTATGCAGTACAGTCAAATCATCCATTTTTGAGGTTAGCATCCTTTTTTTTTTTTTTTTTTTGAATTAGTATTTAATTGCTGTCTTAAGCTCTAAACCAGAAACAAAAATTTTTGCTGACTTCTATGAAATATCTTCATAATTATGCTATACTTCTAGGAGTCAAGTCTCAACAAAGTTGCTTTTAGATTTTTTTTTCCTTTTTCTTTCCAGCTGTGTGGCAGCAAGAATAATCATCTCATGTTGTCAGTTACTGACAAAAAAAAAAATTTCCTTTGTAGAAGGAACGGTTAAGCAAAAAGTAATAAAACAGGGTAGGAGAGGCAATCTGCATACAAGACAAAGCCTCCAGCCATCTTAAAATTAAAATAAATTAACTTTCAGAGGCTAATGTGAAATCCAAAGAAGCAATGAAATTTAGAGCAAGAAATTCTCTACTCTTGTGATACCTTTAAGAAGCTGGCAATCTTAGCAGTCACAGACACAGTCACAGGCCCTTTAGCTCTGTGAGGTGCATTAATATCTGCAGTGTTTAATTTTTTTAATTAGAATTTGTAAAGAATTTTATGCATCCGTAATAAACAGGAATATTCTGACAGTAAGCCAATTTTACTTGGCTGCAAAATTTCTGGTCTCCTGCCCACACTTTTCACATTATCTTACTATAGAGTAAAAATAGTTGAAGTAGACACAGCATACATTTGGTATGGTTAAAACACAGGCCACAACTTTATTTAACTACATAAACAAGCATACATAACCGTAATGGATTAGTGCATAACAGGCCTTAAGGCTATTAGCTGGTGGGACTGGTTTACTGCAAAATAAGCCTCCCCATTTTAACATTAGGCTACTTTATGCTCTTTATTGTAACACAAACCACAGGATTTAGTACACTTGTTAGTATTTTCCACATTCTTTTTTTTACTATTGAAAAGGTATATGCCAGACACGAGGTAAAACATTTCTCAGTTACTTTTGCATTTCTACAGTTTCAATTGTACTTCAGCCAATCCAGGTTCTTTATACAGGTAGGAGAAAACTTTAATAGTGAGATTCAAACAGTCTGTTTTTGAATAGTATTCTAGGAGAAAATGGATAGCATTTGAGATGTATATTTCTTTTCATACAGGAAAGCAGATAATTAGGCTCCAATGTAGACTTCTATAATTAACCCATTGTATGCATCACTGTTGCACTAAGGGAAGACGAATGATTCAGATGAGAAATGGAGTAAACTTCCACACCTGAGGATGTCAGAAATACAAGTTGTTCATGACTGTCCAATTCAAACTCTAATTCTGCAAACACCTAGACATATTAAAGAGGAATTATAAAACTCTCTGGGTGAAGGGTGATTTTGCACTTTGAATTTGCTAGTTTAGGTCCTTTGCAAAGGAATTGTTGACATTTGGAAGCATGTTCTGACAGACCATATGCAACTGCAAATACACTAACTTAAAATTACTTTTAATTATAACCCTGATGAACTAGAATTAAAGAAAGAAAACAAATAATAGCAATAAAAAGAAAACCTGGAAGAATTAAGATGAAGTTTCCATAAGTATTGGATGGACAAAGCTCATCTTAGAGGAGACAGAGTTCATATAATGCTAGTTGCTAAGCAAGCAACTAAGCAAGCAATATAAAGAGAAAAGGATGCCATTGATATGTATAACTCATATGGTCTATGATTGTGAACCAAATCTGCCTCTCTCTCTCTCTCTCTCTCTCTCTCTTTCTCTCTCTCTCTCTCTCTCTCTCTCTCTCTCTCTCTCTCTCTTTTTCCAGTAAGAGTGGAACTGCTGAATGTATTCCAACATTAACTTTACCACACAGAGTCCCAAGGCCTTGTGGATCTGGTTACGCTTTCCTCATCTGGGGCTGGCTTGCCCCAGGATACACTGTATCTACTCTAATTTAAACACTCTGAAGTCCCTCTTTTCTACCAGACTTTGCTCTCACAACTTGAGAGGATGTAGTTCATGCACGACACAATTGCAGTTATATGGAGGTTCTTCTCATATAAGCAACAGTCATTCTGGATCGTTTTTTAGCACACTATGTAACAGCTGAGTCTTAGCATCAGTTCAAGAGAAAAATACTTTGTTCTATTTGATCCCTAATGTCCAAATAAGGGATCTTTGGGGATCACCAAATAAGGGATCCAAATAAGGGCCTTTGTCAATGTACTGCATAAGAAAGTAGAGTTACACTGATTATTCTTTGTATGGAAAACCAGTTAAGTACAACATCCTCAGTCATACTTGGTTCTGGAAACAAAAACAATGATTTGAATGGCTGTCTCTCTACAGGAACTCTGTAGAGCAAAATTGTACATATGGACTTTCCTTCTTTATAAAGACAAAAAAAAACAAACAACAACAAAAAAAAGAACAAAAAAAACAAAGAAGCCAGTCCCTTACTGGGTGGTGTCAGAAAGGGAAAATTAGAACCTATAAAAACACTATGCAAAAGTTTGGTTATTTTTTTCTACATCAGTAAGATATCTTGACATACGTCAAAAAGTACGTTAAAAAATCAAATAATCTCAACAAAATGAATGTATATACATCCAAAAAATCTATCATAACTTGAACAAAAATAGGATAGCAAATCTGAAATGTTCAAACAATCAGACATTTATGACTGGATTAATTACTACTAACATAGACAAGACAGCATATGGAGAAAAGATGATATAACTTAATAAGCTATATTCACTAAAAATGATACATAAGCCACCAAGTGGAGCATATGGCAAAAATCCAGCTGCACACCAGATATTTACAAGTATTTTTAGGAAGTGTTATAGAGCATGGTGGGACTCTATCAAGGCTTAAAATGATTATTTTAACCTTCTGTCCATTCTTCTTCCTTTTATTAATTTTTTTAAATTTTGTAAAAAAGTAAGCATGAAAGCACATCCTCTTAGTTGCATGTCATCTTTTAAAAAAGCTAAAGAGTTTTTTTTTTTGTCATAATTAGGCTTAGTCACAAGATTTAAATGGGAAAAACATACCAAAAATCCACTTAACTTTCTCTGTGGGCTGAATGCTTTTCCCCTTTTGAGATCAAAATATCAAAATATCTTTGAGTATTTTCATTGCTTCTTAATTCAGAAGAGTTTTACAAAAATATACAAAAAAGGAAAATTAACTGTTGCTTGTGACCGAATTATAACAAATAAATGAACACTTAAAAAATTAAACAGAAATACAGCTCCAAATACCACTGATCTTATATATTAATTTACATTTAGATCTAATTCAACCAGGATCTAACATACTTAAACATTTCTAAATGAACATGATCATACTAATATGCTTATTAACATATTACATTGAGATTTGCATCAGCATAAGCATATTGTATTAACAATATGATGGAACATAATTGGTTCTGGAACAGGAACACTGGCCCAGAACAGGTTCACTGACATAAGAAGTGTTTGAGAACAACCATAGGACAGCTAAAGAGACTCTACTTAAGCATAATTTATTTTATAACATTACATACAAAAAGTGTGCTTCAATTCATAGCTATCACATGATATTTTCAGAAAGAATTCTTCCATAATTAATCAAGTTTGATGTGGAGTTATATGACACAGTTTTTTTGTTTAAGGGTCTTTTGTTTAAGTTAAGGGCAAACTTTTAGCTGTAGGAAATTCAGGAAAAAAAAACAACCTGAGCAAATCATAGAACCATAGAATCATTAAAGAAAAGACCTCTAAGTCTGTCATGTTAGCCTTATTGACCTAACCCCCAGCAAAAAAATATAAGTACAAAATGCAGAAATGCAGGCCACACATTTACAAGAGGAGATACATGAACAAAAAAAACCAACATCCCTGTTTACTATATCTGACTAATATTTCTCTTGATATCCAGCAGAATGTTTTCTTTTTCTTTTTTTCTTTTTAATCTGAATGTATTATCACTGAAACAAATCCATCTTCTTACGGAGACTTAACTTGTGAGTTGTTTTTACTGACTCACACTCCCTTATATTCATATTAATGTTTAATACTATACAAGCAAACTTCATAAAAGGAGATACTCTATTTTAAAATGTAGAAATAGAAGTATTACTTGTCATTTAATGACTTTTATCTGTTGACTTACCTAATTTTTTATTAGTGATTTTTTGGGGTTTCATTTTATGGGCCCTCTTGAGCATTAGCTGTGCAGTAGAAATATCTTTAAAACCCCTAGGGAAAAAGAATATTTTACTATATATTTGACAAAGATTATGTTACATGAACTGTATATGCTGTATTTCGCAATTTGCAAAAAAAATACAAATGTGCTAATTATATGGTATTAAACGCTCTGAATTACATTGATACTTGCAATGTGTATCTTTATACTACAACCTTGCAACTTACTGAGACAGTGTTGCAGATACTTGTAAAAACAAATATAGTAATTTTTACCTTGCTATAAAACAAAGATACTTCAATGTTTTTTAAGTACAAATTAAATACAGCATGCAACATTGTGCCTATTCCTAGAAGTCACTATACAAGAAAAACAAACAGGCTTAACATACCATTCTTCTGAAATTTTTTCTTCTTTTTCTGATCTGAATAAAAATTTCTTTTTTTCTTGCATGTCAGAGAGTTGTGACATTGTTCCCTTCTCTGACCTGAAAACAAATTATATAACAGAGGTACTGAAAGGTAGGTAAATAAGGAAGAACCAGGGGTAACTCCTTTGCAGCCTTTGTTGCTTTGAAAGTTATTTGTGTCTTGGAAATAATACAGGGGAAAAAAAGAAAAAAAAAAAAAAAAAAAAAAAAGTTCTATTTTAATACTCCAGGAAGGCTTTATCTTGGAGAGTAATAAAAGTCTGCCATCAATTTGAAGTGTTTACGTTTCAATTACTTGAAGCATATTTCAGTCCTTTCTCTCGAAAGGAATGCAGCCGTGTAAGAAATCCCTTTTAATCCTTATCTAGTCTTAGAAATCTCTATTTCAACATCTACATGTTATTATATACATGTAAAATATAGGCTTTATGATGTATAGCTTAATACACACATACATAAATATCTATATATATTTTTTCTTATATTCTTTATTCTGGTAGCTACTGAAAAAAAGTAATTTAATACTGAAAAAACTCAGCTCATATCCTTCTCCTTTTAATGCCTGTCATATCCAAAAAAATTAAACCTAATGAAAAAGAAAGTGTGTATATATTTGACTTACATGTTATGAAAGTGGATAGTTTCTGGAGAGCATGAATGTGGTCTGTCATCACACTGCCAAGCTTCAAGTGGTGCCAATGGTAAACTAATTGGATGTTCACTGGACTCCGAAGGCATAGAATATTTCTAAATAAGAGAAAAAAAGTTATAGCTCATGACTCCTCTAAGTTTGTCGCAAAACTGCAAATAACCACTCAAAGCACTGTAAGGATGCACATAATTAGCTATTTCAGCATCACTGAGACCATATGTATGTCCATGAGTCTGAAATGTGCAGGCAAACCTGAGAGGACTTGCAGAATCTATTTTTATAATGCAAATTATTCTTAAAAGTGACACGCCCATTACAGACCTAACATTTAACAGGCATGGCAAAAAGGTGGCCTTATTTATACCTACAAAGTTCCAATAATTATATCCTTCTAAGCCTCCTTTCTGTTAATTGCAAGAAATAAAAAAAAAATTAGTAATAGTATGCTTGTAACAAGGAAAAAAAAACCCTACCAAAACAACAAGCAAGAACTTCGAAGTTTTTCAAGTAACTAGCAGACATTACAGTTCAATGACCTTTAGTCGTTCTGAAAATATTCAGCTGTTGTCATACAACATACATCGTAGTATTTTTAAAGCATTGTGTCAACTAACAATTTCTAATCCATTGCCAACCCTACAGATGAAGTATATCATCTTTTTCTTTTGCTACTGTGAAGTTAAGTGTTCTAAGAAATCCAAAATAAAGAAAAAATTTACCAAATGAAAGAAAATCTAAAGGAAAAATTGCATCTGGGGATGAGGAGGAAGTCCAAGATTTCTAAAAGTAATTGTCTTTTTCCAAGTCAATAGATTGTAGTATTAATTACCCTAGATCAGCATATCCTTAAGGAATGAACAAAGAAAGAAGAGTAAGAAGTTTCTGTAATGTTACCTTCAGCCAGTGCAGCTGGTTTGAGAGTACGAGTGTTTTTGAAGGGAAACGGGTGGTATCCATATCCAGAATTAGCCATTCTTTCTCTAAAGCAGCCTGTATGAATGAGTAAAGTCAAATAGTGCACTGATAAAATCAGTTTAGTTTGAATAACTTTTACAAAGTCTCTTTTAAATTGTCTTACATACTGTATCAAATGTTTTCAAGTCATATATCAGAAGTGTCACCTGCAGAGCAACCACATTCAAAACATCTTTGGATATGGTATGCTGCACTATTTTATTTAAAACTATTCAGATCAACATATTTTAAAATGAGAGGCAGTACTCATTTCTCAAATTCTGGCAATTTTATTTCAACACTGTCAGTAAACTCAAAGTCATTAAAAAAACGCATCAAACTCTGGCAGAATACAGATGTAAGGTCCTGTAAAGCTAAAAGGACATATTCATGCCTTGTTTGCTGTTCTTTGAGGAGTCAGTATTTTCAATTCAGGTTAGGCGTCAAACTTGCTTTTGTTAATTTGAATTTGACTGATGAATGGTCTTCAAACAAACCAAAAGCTAAAAAGACCTTAAATGCACTTATTCCTCTAATTAATCCAATTTATTTTTTACATAATGGAACTATTTGCAAACTGAAGTGATTACTTGAATAAAAAGAGATGGTAGAATTAAGTGCTAAATGGTGTGACTTTAATGCACAATTCAGGTCTTCCTAAATAAAAAATGTAGATCATATTTCAAATTCAATCTGTAAATAAATTATTATATTCTTAGCTTTTCTAGAGCTTTTTCACTATATATTCTTTCAATATTTTCAGATAAGCACATGAAAAACATGACTGCCACACAGCAGGTAAACACTTCCAAAGAAGTATTTGGCTTCACTTACACAGGCCTCAGTCATTTAGGCTGTTCTTACTTCAGCAGTAAAGTGCTGGGGTTCACTCTTTTGAAAATGATTAATACATAAAACCAGATCACCTTTCCTCCATTCATAAAATATTTCAGATTGCATTAATTTCTAAATTGGAGAATTCCTTTTAGTTGCCCAAGCTCTGGATACCTCAAGATAGGATTGCAATAATCTTTCACTGTGCAGTTTGCATAAATAGGATTTTGCACAATATTAGACTGATGAACAAGAAAGGTCACCCAGGCCCTTCAAAATCCTGAGAAATAAAAGGATTGTATTAAGTTATTATGAAGTGATTACTTCAGACACTGGCCACATAATTTTGTAACTCTAACACCACTCCTCTTTTTTGAAAGGTTAGCATGAATGAGTGTTCTTCCATTCTGATCTTGTTTTATTGGATGATTTTTCAATAAAGTTTGAGTTATTTCCAAGTTTTAAAAAGGCTGCATTCTTGCATCTTGCTTCCTTGTTTCTGAAATCCCTTGTTGTTGGATTAGAGTATGTTTTGTTTTTCATTCCTTTATTTAAATCCAGGTAAATTCTATGCCCTCCTCCATTAATGTATCTTGGTTCATCTTTCCCCTTCTGTTATTTCATCTCAAGATTAAAATATACAAAGTCATCATTTTCATCCCCTTTCGAATAGTTACATACATTAAGAAAATATCTATGTAAATATACTGTAGAGGCATGCAAATAATATGTGTCGTTCTTTAGCTGTTATACTTGCCTATCACCTACTAGTTCTCCTCAGTAATTTATTCTCAAATTGACAATCATTAGGTAACTTATTCAAGTAACTTTTATAAATATATAGACATATTTTGCCACAGTTAGAAAAAAAAAATAAAAAAAACCTCTAATTTAAATATACAGTTTGAATTTCTGCCCAAACTATTTTCTTAGTACCTTATTTGCCATTTATTCATTTGATAATCTCCATGCTGCTCTCATTTCTTTCATAAACTATAAAATTGCTTGTAGTGGTTGGAGTGGTGAAAAGATAAAGCAGCAAAAATATAAAAAAGATGAATCAAAGTTATAGAAATATATAGACAAAGCTAAGCTCTAAAAAGAAAAAACAAAAATACAAGCTCCTCCTCCAGCTGATTTATCATTAAGATTATATCTGCTGATATAATGCATATTTGGCATGCATTGTAATGTATAGCATATTATAAAAATATACCACACTGTCATTTGCTGTAGCCAAGAAAAATAAACACATAATTGATTTCCAAATGTATGCTCTTCCACTGTTTACCCCTAGAGATTTTGACAGTACCAAGTTCAAGAAACTTTTGTCCATATCCTTCCCATAAGCACTGTCCTGAAATACAACCAACGTAAAGTTTACATACAAACAGGATTTTGCCAATAACTAAGGCTAAAAATTAAGTCTATTTCTACTGAAATTATCCACTAACAGAAACAAATACAAACTGAAATGAATTATAAAGCAAATAAAATGATAACGCTTGATTGTGTGGTCTATGTAAACAATTATTGACTCCTTTTATTCCATGGGACAGGAAGCAAGAATAAGTGTTTATTTCTAAAGTCAAATTAAGGAATTGATTTCACAAATACTGAGATATAAAAATAACTACACATACAGGTAAACCACATTCAGTTGAATTAAGCTGTTAGTTCATCCAAAGGTAAGTCTTTTGCCCCTCTGAATAACTCATACTTTATCCCCAGTTTGTTTGGAAAAAGAAAAAAAAAAAAAAAGTATGGATTATTTTTAAAAGTCTCAGTTTTTACAAGCACACAAAATATCCCCGTGACTTTTTTTTAAAAAAACTCAAAAAAGTGATTACTTTTAACATAATTTTAAAAATTGTATTTAACAATAGGACAATTTACCAAGAGTATTTGAAATTTTTGTTTTGTTTTACTGGATGTTATACCAGTTTTTATTTAGCTCCTGCTCAGGACAAACAAGACAATTTCCAAGATCAATAAGAATACAGACCACCAAATTTTCCACTAAGCACAATAAAATTATCTTTGAGAACATTCTTATAACAAAAAAAAACCTATGAATATATTTTTTCTATATTATATGATGAAAATATATAATATTATTTAGCTATTTCTACTTGCCCGTAAACATCAAGAATTTCTTATCATAATTCACCATAAATTCTTTACCTTCTGTGAGTTTCATCCTACAGTTCTTCTTCTCTCATTTGACTTTGTTGCTCAGGAATGAACTCTGAAGGATTAGGGAATACTTTTCTCATGGCATACTGTACATAACCTTTTACATTTTGCCACTCCTTCCTACTTCAAATATTTATTCTAGCCCTTCCTTCACCAAATGTAATGACTACTTAACATAAAACACATCAAACTTCTGTGGCCAAGGAAAAAGAATGTAATTCCACAGTCACTAAAATCAAGGAGAATGGTTCTATTAATTTTAATGAGGCCTGAAAGAACTCCTGAAATACAGATTTTTAGTGCAAAAGTTATGCATGCAGTCAAATCTTTCTGTCTTTTTGATGATCTGGAGTTATATATCATTTTATATAAGATTTAAAATAAATATTTTATATATGATTATGTATGAAAAAATCAAGCTTAAGCCCTGTCTAAATCGAGAAAAAAAAATTGAATAACATTATGATATTTTGGCCTTCTGTCTTCTCTTATCTCAAGGCGGATCATAAGACCATAATTAAAAAATAATAATAATAATGCTGCAAATTATACTATGGTTACAAGGACAGTGGGAGACACAAGAAGGAAGTGTAAACAACACTGCCTTACTAAAAAGCCCTCGATGTGAAATACAACAACTCTGAATCAGTTCAAAGTATCTGTCTACATCACTACCTCATATCCAAAAGACTTCAGCAGCAGGCACTTCTGAAAAGAGCGAAAGAAGCTGTGAAGAATTTGTGAAAGACAGCTAGTCAGCAATCTTTCACTGCCTATACTCTTTCAGACTAGAGAAATAAGTGGTTTAAGGAATTTCCACAAATTCCTAGGCAAAGAGTGATTGTATGTTGCAAGATCACCCCAGTCCAGCACAAGAAAGAGAATCATATACATGTTTCAGAGCGCAAACGCCCTGAAACGGCATAGGGCCTATCGATATATAATCCATAATGTTGGGTGTTGCAGGAGCCGGAGCTGTTCTAGCGCTGAAAACATGGTGGGGCTCAGAAGCACGTGATGAACATAGTTTGAGAAGGGGAAGTCAGTACCAAGTGATGACCATATGTCAGAAGTCCTCCCCTGTGCCACAGACAACTTCAGTTTCCACAGCCTGTAGCTCACAAGCAATCTTCAGCTCAGACTGTAAACAACACTTGTAGCTTGGGCAATTCCTGGCTTCATTTGTGCTTCCAGAGCCAAATTAAAAGGTGTTGCACAATTCTATCTTGCATTTCTGCTTCTCAAGGTCATTGGACTATGTTTTGATTATTAAGAATAAATCATTTGAAATATTTTATGGTTTTTGAAATGCAGCGACTGAATTTTGAGCTAAATTTCTTTACAGACTAGAATATACTTGATACTAAAAATGTCTGGAGAGAATCCTCTGTTTATTATACTTACATTTTGAGTTAGTTTGTTGGGAAAATAAATGCTTAAAATTAGGAAGACTGGTTTCTTTTTTCTTTCATTTCCTCCTTTACTCATCTCATTTGCTGTTTACAGCAAACATTTAGCCAGAATATCTGTTCTATTTCTATTCACATGGTATGTTTATTTCCATGTTGTTTTATGATAAAATGGGAAAATTACTCAACAGAGTATAAACAAGTAAAAGAAAGTGAATGTCCAAAACATCTTCTGAACACAGAGTCATGGCTGGCCTATGGGAATGACTAAAGACTATGAAGAAGAGAAAGGGAAAAAAATAAAAAAGATAAACTTTATTCTTAGAACTATTTCCACATTACAGTTTCACAGAAATAATGAGTGTAGTTCTTTGCTCTGAAAGATTCACTCTCCGGTGCTTTTGTCTTTTTTTATTTAACCTGTTTCTTTGGACTTCTGTGAGGTCATTTGTGTCATTCTCAGTCTTCTGCATCATCACTACAGAATGACCCTTTTTAAGTCAGATTTTCCAAAGATTCTGACCTTACTTTTTTTAAATAAAATATATCAGAAAAATATTGCCAAACGTTTAGAATCTCTGCACTAGTTTTTCCTAT